TTAAACCGAAGATTTTCCATTATATATTCAGCTGGTGACAATATTAGTAAAAAAAAAAATTCAATATATTGTTTTTGTTTTAGGAAAAATGACAAATGCACTTCAAAGAATTGGTGAATGCATGCACCAAGAAGACGTTGGAGAAAATATATATTGGTGAAGAAATCTTACTGAAAAAGAAATGTGTAATCGTGTAATAATTATTAATAATCCATTAATAACTGTTATTAAAAAAAAAAACCTGTAAAAAAATCTTACACAGTAAATGTCAATAATGTATTTCTCAATTTAACCATCCAGATTTATTTATAAATAAGTATAAAAAAACAGCACGTAGAATGAAACAACAGCATTAGCAGCTTAGCATACTATTCTAAGATGGCCATCTCAAAATCAGCCGCCAGCCTTATTTTTCTTGTTCTTTTATTCGCAACAGGTACAAATTTTCATTTGTTGTTATTTATTTATTTTTGCCATTTTTTGATTTTTGTGTTCAGTGGAGATGGCAGTATATAATTCCGTGATGGTTCAGTCAATAATTCACATTGTAATTTAGCGCCAAATTTGTGTTAACTTTGCAGGATGGTGTGTAACGGAGAATGATGTGCCGTCGACACCCATAACGCTGCCGAAGAGATGCATATCATCATTTGAGTATTGTTCCCAGAAGTGTGGACAAGATTGTTGTTTTAGGCTGTGTTACGCCCAGTATTACCGAAGCCATCCAGTTGCCAGTTGCGATGAGATTCCCGGAACTGCTATTACTTTGTGTAACTGTCGTTATGACTGTACTCCCCCTCCTTCCTCTGAATAAAATTGAGTAAAATCTGGTAAAATCACCGGATGGAATATATCAAATTAAAAAAAAGAATAAAAGATAGACGGCGTTGGAAGAAGATTAGCTTTATTCGTTTCTATCGCCCCCCTGTTTTTTAATTTTGATGTTTTGTAATGGCACTTGGTATTTGCCTTTTGTTTTGCTTTAGAAATTAAAAAAGGAAAAGAAATTTCTTGATATTATTTGCTTTAGAAATTATTGTTTCTTGAAATTTCTTGATATTAATGTTGTGAAATCTTGGTTAAGACATGATGTAACGAGTATTCTAATCACATCGTCTTAGGCTTTGGCCCCCTCCTTTGTAAAAAAAAAAGAGTAAAATAAAATAAGCAAGGTAATATCGTTATCAAATGGTATTTTTATAAGGGGTGTTTTTTTTTTTTTTTTTTGAAACAGGCAAATCGTTTTTTAAAAAAAAGAATGGACTCCAGACAATGACTGCTAATTATAAACAATGGTAAATCTCAAACACTAGTAGGCAAATACGAATATATTAACTCTAGAAGGTTAAAAAAAGCAAAGAGATTAAAAACACTAAAAGGTCAACGTCAAAATGAATAGAACATATTAGTCCTTTGATCAGGGAGAACGCACAAATTTTCATTCTGCTTCTCAATGTCTTCATCACGGTATTCTGTCAGCAGGTTGTCAAAGGCATCTTCATATATAGTCAGGCATGCTTTCTTGCAGTTTTCTTCAAAAGGATTCTTAAGAGAAGAAAGAATATTGAATTTTGTTGAGCACGATTAAGTTGAGAATGATCCTTCTCTACACTTTTTCGCGACTCTTTGCAGCATTTCTTCTTGCGCAGCATCCGACAAAGTAGATTATAGACTACCAGAAGAGAGGGAAAAAGGACATCAAACTCTGACGGAATTTCCTGTGCAGGATAGCTAAAATGATCCCAGATTCTTGCAGAAAGTTTCGGACTTACCAAGATAAGGAAAAGAAAGATATTGAAGATGGCAACCACCCTCCATTCTGTCTTCATATACTCAGCAACTCCAGCTCTGCAAGGAAATGCAAGCAAAAGGTTGAGAATTATATGATTAACCCAAGCTCAGAAAGAGCACAGCATTTCCAAAGATGTGATCATTACTTGCAAGAATCACAACTGTAGCACTTGACAGCTCTGGAGTTTTTGTAAAGTTTGCAATCCTTGTTTGTGCTGATTGGCCGAAAGCTTAAGTCATAATATGAAGCATTTACAGCAGGATAACCACACCTGAAGGAAAGCCTTTCTTGAGTGAAGCCAGAACAGAAAACTTTAATTTAATTACTAATACAGATGATAATGAGTCCATGACAATCCATATTGCATAGCAGTATATGAGAAAATAATTAAGCAAGAACCAACTCTGATGGTGGACGGCAACAACCAGCTTCAATAGGAGAGAGTCTTGCTAACTTGTATTGTCTCAAAGTCTACAGAAGCCAAATTAAAGACATAAGAGTAATTTCAAACAAAATGCACTAGAGTTTTGTACTTTCTAAGGATGTACCTTATACTCTCTTGCCAAGTAGTTGCAGTCATCAGATTTCACAAGACAGCTCCTTAGACGCTCCCAGTTGTGCGTATTATTAAGCTGACAAATTAAATTTGAATAAAAATGATACTTCCACTTTTGACTTCAGACCTAAAAGAGTATTTTTTTAGTTCATTTCTTCAACATAAATAGGAAAGTTACCTCTTTCCAAAACCATGAACTGTAATCCTGAAGATGATACTCCTTGTACCTGATGAAAAAATGAAAAGTTGATCTCTCAGTAAGTTTGTCAGGTTGGAATCAACTGATAAGACTGAAAAGTGAACAAATACTTGAGAAATATTACAGCAATACATCCAAGGTAACAATCTGTCCCAAATTATGGTGAGGAGTGTTAGGGTGTGCTTGTGTGTGCACAAGAACGTGATGCCGTGAGAATGCACTTGGAAAGGAGCCCGATCGATACAGAAGAGAGCAAAGTTAAAATATAAAAACAGAAAGTACAGAACTAACAGAGAAATTTACCTCAAACCAGATACATTATGGCCAGAGCCAGAATTTGTCACAATGAACCTAGAAGAAGCAGAAAATAAAAGCAGAACATCAGTTTGTAGGTCATGCTTTCTTATCACAGTTGAAGGATTTAGTTTGGACATGTCTACTTTAAACTATGAAAACATGAAGCAACTAGCAGTGTATCCCTTGGTCCAACAATTTGAAAGTCGTTGATGAGTAATAACTATACTGAAAAAAAGTGGAATGAACGTCAACTAAACAATGCAAGTAAAGCCTGATTACTTTCACCAATAACATGATTAATATGAAGTGACAAAATCTAATTGAGCAGCAGAAGTAAATATATTCATTTCGATGTCAATAAAAGCAAGAGATAGCAGTCATGCCAATCACAAAGGTTCTACATTGCCAATTCATTTAGAAGAACAAGAAATGAAAATTTCCCTGGACAATCTATGATTCAAAGCGCCACCAATAAAAGAGCTCAGCAAAAGTACTTACGCCAAGACTGTGAAGACCAATATCGCCAACAAAATAAGGCAGAGCAAGATTAGATACTGAGATTCAGTCAAGGCAAACTCATAAAATGCATAATCATACACTGGCATAACAAGAAGTGCAAAAACGACAAACTTGTCTTATTGGTAGGATACAATCCACAACAAGATTGAGTTGTTCTTCCACGCACCCAGAAAGCCTAAAATTGATCTGAAAATGAAATAATTCAATCTTCTGAGCAACAAGAAATCACATTTAAAAAGCAAAAACTCATACCGAAAAGGAAAAGTTTAACTCAGTAAGCTTACACCACAAAAATTGCTGCACCAAGACCTATTACAGGTAGAGTTAAGGACTTCCTGCAGCCATCATGGTGAGTGCTCATCCATACCCCAAAACCCAGGACAGCCACAGCTAACAGCTGTTTGATACAATTCAACGTTTAGAATTAATTTTTAACAACTTAAACACCGCCAGAAAATGCATACAATCTCTTCTATTCAGGCTTCACTACACATTATTGTCAAATCCATCTATATATAATACCAGAGGCAGAGGGTTTACAGTTTGACAAAGAAGAGAATAAACTAGAAAAAAAGATTACAGTTTTCCAAAACGCCAGGAAAAACACCAACTTAAGGTTTCCATATTCAACATGAACAACTCACCCCAACAAATTGAGACAAGACTAATTAATAATAAACAAAAACAATGCAGAAAAGAAAATGAATAAATGCGAACTGGGTTGTAAGGAAGAAGCAAAAGGGTAGAAGGAAAGCATACCACAGTGAAGAAGTTGATCCATCTGATGACAAAAGTACTTGTTCCTGTTCCAGAGCTCATCTTTTGCTAGTTGCTGGTGAGCTTCTCAAAGTTGTGAGCTTCTCAAAGAACTTATACATAAACAAACTCACAAGTCACAAGTCGCAACCGAAAATGGAAAAAGAACAAAAAATTCCGTTGGAAGTTTCTGTGAGAAACTTTTATTAGCTGGCTGTTTGGAGAAAGTGACATTTGCACTTTCTTCCTTCTGGGATAACCTTTTGAATTTTTGGGGGCGACTTTGGAAATTAACTTTTACAAGATATTCACTTCCCATATGTTTTTTGGTCTGTAATTGGATTTTCCTTCTGATTTTAATATTTTATCATATGACCCCAAAAAATTAGACTTTGTAACATGGTAACCATATTCCCTCGGTTCCAAAATCATTGTCTAACTAAGATTTTCATTTCTAACTTAATTCTAACTAAAAATGAAAATTCAAACTAGAGAATAATTTCGGAACACATGCAATATCTAATTCACGAAAATATGTTAAATGTATACAGTATATAATAGTTTGCTACCTTGACCAAACGGTCAATGGTCACGTGTGAGGGTCAACAAGGAACGATTAGATAATGCAATACAGCTCCATAACATGGGAAAAAGCTGTTTTCAGTTCCAGCAGAACTCTCGATCTCAAGCATTAATGTCTTTCTAGGCTTCTAATTTTGGTTTTGAATGCATTTATATCTGTCCTCAAAATCTTTTGCACTTCATATAAGTATGTTTTTAACTTTTATAAACGTTCCGTCCCAAAACAAGAGTCTTGTTTTTTTAACTTACACTAATACTAGTTTCAACTTCCACGAGTAAAGTTCTTGCGAGTGATAATCCAGAAATGAAATTTTACAGCTAAACTTGGTATGTTAAGGGTTTAGGCTTAAACTTTGCAAGACACAATCTACAAGTGTGCCAGTGTACTGGATCAAGATGACAAATGATATCCTTTTTCTTATAGAAGACTTCTGTTTAGAGTCATTGGGAAATTTATTTGTATCATCACTAAGCAAGAAATAAGATGATCATCGAATGATGTTCCAGGTAATAATTACAGCTCGAAAATGGCTCTCAGCCGAAACAAAAAAGCAGTATGAAGAAGTGAAAGAAACTGGCAAGGATCAAATAAAATGAACTGTTTGTTGTTATTGAACTCTGTTTGTGCAGGTTAGAATGATGGATTTCATCTCTTCTTTACCCAAGGATGTATCAACTATCACCTGCCAACAAGATATTCATCAGCAGAAACTCAATTGTAAGAAGATTTTTTTTTTTTTTCTAATAATAGTGTATTTCTTGGGGGGAAACAAGTTGCTAACTTACTTCCTGTGCCCGATTGCCGGACCGAGCTAGTAGTTTGTACTGATTTTCAAAAATCGATGCCATATAGACCTGTTGCATGAACAAAAACACATGGGTGAACACGAAGAACTTCATATAATAATCAAAGATATCTTAGCCTTTTTAATAGAACACCATTCATTATGGTGAAAAGAAGTTGATGTACCTGGAAAGTTGGTGCCAAACCAGGACTCACAAAATACCGTCCCTTAACCACAGATTGAATACCCTCAACCTGTTGCAGTTCTTTAATAAGAGACTCCACCTCTTGCCACTGTCCAAAGATTACATGGAGAGATATTCAGAATTACCATCCTGCTTCCATGACCAGGTGGATGTGTATAAAATTTCAATAAAGCACACATGTTGCTTGCTCAAATTCTATCATCCATTTTTTAAAGTTTCCTTGGTAATACTGGATATAATAACCCAAAAAAACTTTCTTAAAGATCTGCAACTCTGAAATATGATTGCAGCTAAACATCGTTTATAGCCAATTAGATTATTATGCAGCAATAATACTTGACCAAATCATAAGGATTAAACCAAACAAACTCAAAAGAATCTTAACGTATTTGCCAGATTCAATATTTCAGTATTTACCCACATTGTTTAGTATGTGGAAATGCAATAAAAGATCTAGTCATGACATAATAGAGAAAAATGGTGCTCCTACCTCAGTATCTGCCTGAGCTTCTTTTAGTTGGCTATCTGAAGAATCATGACCACCTACAACTGCGTCTAGGGCCTCAATCAATGGATCAGGCTGCCACGGAAAAAACTGATTCAGAATGCTGGAGTAACAATTAGCAAGTAAGGGACTTTCAGTATTACCAAAACTTCACAAGGATTACCGTTATTTCCTTCAATGACAAGAATATGCGATCAAGGCTAAAATCTAATTGATGAACTTTTGCTTCCACAATCTGACCAGAAAAGGGAGAAGAAATGGAAAATCATATATATTCGGAACGTCAGAGAACACATTACACATAACAATCCATCTTATGTAAATTAATACAAAGAAATTTACAGATGGAAATGCAGATAGAGACATGCGATCATTCTAAACAATGGCAAGGCGGTTGCTCGGTCAAAGATACCTGGCCAACTTTAAAGAATGATGAAGGGTCCAATGTAGCATCCCAAGAAACTTCGGTTTGGTGAATCAGAGCAGGTACTCCTTCAATCTACATTCAAAATTTCAGTTTACGCATGATAATACATTTCCCTGTTATCTGGGATGTTCTCACTGGAAAATAAATAAGGCAACAATATACTAACAACTGTCCCAAGATAAAAGCATAAGACTCAACTAAACACCAATCGTAACAATAACAATAAAAAGAAAAGAATGGAACCTCACCTCAACAAAAATGCCAAAGTACGTTATCTTCTTAATTGTGCAGGTAACCACATCACCAACACTCAGTTTAGCCTGTCAGAGCCCCAGAGGAGATAAAGTAAGAAACTTGTTGAAAAAAGCATCAATAAAAGAGGAATAGCATGGTGAAAGATATAAAGTCGACAGCTTGATGTAGTATAAAAGTTTGCGCTCATGAATAATCCAACGCAAATAAGTTCCATACGCATGAGAATACTACCATGAGATTTCTTTTTTTTGTGATATTTTCTTCATTTTCCTTTGGTTTAGCAGAAAAAACAAGCCGTCTTGATTTTCTGTCAGCCAACACTGCAACCACTCTTATTTTCTGCAAACATGAGGTTTTCAGGTTAGTCTAGTCAACTTATGAAATCTACATTTCAATCCAAATTTGCTTCATACAAACCTGACCAACAAAGGATGACAAAAATTTGAGTTTTTGCTGGTCATAGATCTTTAGAAGATCTTCAAGCTTCATATCGGGGTTGACTTCACTGCCTAATTTGTCATCTATGTCTATATCTAATCTTAAATCAGTAGAAGGTATTATGCCAGCTGCTTCAGAGTTGCCAATAACACCTAAGCTTTTCCTGTACTTGGATGGATCTAAGCCCCTCCTTCTCAACCAAGATTCAAAAGCTAAAAACTTCCACTTTGAAGCAAGATTTCGATACGGTAAAAATCCTATCAAAGAATAAAATGAAACCTGCAAAACAAGGACCAGAAAAGACACACATTTTAAGATTGGATTTGGAAGTCAAGCATCAGATCCGGAAATTAGGATAGTTGGTACTTACCGTAAATCCTCTGGTACTAGAGCTCACTATCTCCACGTCTCCTCTTTCTCCAGATAAAACCAGATCTTCTGCTCTTTTCCAGTCTTGCTCTTCAATGTCCTATAAATAGCCAGCACCAAGCTTCAATATAAAAACACATTTCAGAAAAGAAACAATGAGATGAAAACACCAACCTTCATGGGCGATGAAAGGAAGTCTTCAAGTGCTATAACCCTCCCACTAGTTTCACGATTTTCAGGGATTTGCTCTTTAACAATGGTAGATGTCACCTTCACTGACTGGTCTAATCTATTGGACAACATATAGTTAGAAAACCAGAAACAGTAATCAACAAATAATTTTAACCCATAACATCTTTAAATTACCTTTTTGGTTTACCAAGCAGCATAGCATCGGTAGAGATACCAGGGTTAGATATATCTGTTTTTGGTTCTTGATATGAATCGCCAATTGAGATGGAATCAGGTGATTCTTGCTTTTCTTCATTCTCAACATTTGGAGAGCTACCATCAGCTTTGGAGTCACCTGATTCATCATTTTCACCCTCACTATCAGCACTGACTTTCTCAGGCCTCTTCAACAACGTAATGTCACTAAACTCATTTGGAGAGCTACCATTAGCTTCAGAATTATTGGACTGGCCACTTTCACTCTCACCATCAGAAATGATTTTCTCAGGCCTCTTCAACAGTGTAATGTCACTAAACCTTTCCTTCTGTTGTTCCTTCCCCATTCTCAATGATAAATTTGGTCTAATGCTATATTTCGAAGAATCTTCATCTTTATATGTTGTAGGTTTCCTCAGTATCACATTAGGAACCTTGCTAGTGTTGTTTTTAACTGCCTCTCCAACTGGCTGAGTTGGTTTCCTTTTCTGAACCTCAAATGATTTCTCATTAGTCTCAAACTTCACTCCTTTTGGGGTCACTGGCCGTACCAAGTTCACCCCGTCAATGGAAGTAGCTGCCTTTCTTTCCCACTCCATATCAAATGAAACAACTTCCTCTATAGCACTATTCTTCGACTTCCCCTTCTTTTTCTTCTCAATTAAATTTTCAATTTCTAAAGGAGTTAAATCTGGATTAGCCTTCCTCGCCATTATCTAATAGGATAAAACACTCACAATGAGAAATATTTTCATTTACAGAAATAGTAGAGAATTCAACAATGAGCTACAAAACAGCTACATGATGCTTTTGCAAGGATCAAGATTCGTGGGACAGAATTCAATCTGCTGGGCTTCCTCTAAGTAAAAAAGAACAGCAAACTAGACATAGCTGTGGAAATTAACACTTCCAAATTCCTAACTCTGAAGAACACACCCCACAAACCATCATATCATTTCTTTCCAGACTCTGTCAATTTGTTGGCCAATAAACCAAGAAAAAAAATTCAAACATCCATTACACAGGAAAGACAATACACGAAAAAAAAAAAAACAAAAAACAAATAAAGGGAAAAAAAGAACAGGAAAAGGAGAGGAGCAAATTTTTATTACAGTTGGTCTCCAAATTTCTTCCCCCCACAATTCTTTGCTGAAAATACCAAATACTATCCATTATAAATAAGCAGGAGTATGAATAACCATTCATTAACATCATATTATTGCAGGAAGAAAGGACAAATGAAGTACACCTTGGCCATGGTTAGCTTGGGGTCTTCACCAAGCATTCTGCCAAACTTGAGCTCCATTTGTTCCCACCTATCCAACTCAGGTGGCTCCCCTTTGGATGCAGAGACACAAACTTTTCTGGGTTTTTTATCCCAACAAACATTTCTTGATCTTCTTCTTCCTGGGTACTGTGCATGCAAAGAGATATTAGACGGCAAACAAAACTGGGTAGCCATGGAATTCACAGTGGCGGTGGGAGAAGATGTGCTGGCAGCAGAAGTAATGGTGGAGGACAAAGATATCGACTCCATAGATGATGGGTAGCTCATGAAATTAGCATTCATTGCCAATTAGATGAATGGTGGATTGGATTCATGGGAATGGAAGCTGTTGAAGCAATAGTGATGATGATGGTGAAACTGGGGAATGAGAATCTTCTTCACTGTAAAATGTTCATCACTGAATTGTATACGTAGACACATTCTGATACCTTATCTACTTTGTGGATTAGAGAAAATTGGGCATATAATCAGAATTATACAAGTGGTTATCACAGTTCACAGCCTTAAGGTTTTAATCTTAATTTTTCTGTACTTTCATCCCAAAATAATTTCTGATTTATTTTTTCAGGGAAAAAAGAAAATTTTCCAGAAAAAAATAAGGGCCTGGTGTTATTGGGCCATTCCTTGGTCCACGCTTACGTGGGTCATAGAATCATTTGATGATTTTGGATTAATTATTTGTCTTCAAACCCCTCACAATTTACTTCTTTTTTTCTTTTTGTTTTTTGGAAATGCAACCTTCCCAAAATATTAGTTCTTAGGAAGCAATGGAACTCTTCCGCTTTGGGTCTCATAGATTTTTCTTCAATATCATCTTTTTATATATAAAAGTGTAATGAAATAATTATCAATTTGGTCGAGGAAAAAGAAATTTAATTTGTGAAACCGCACCGATTGTTCTTATAACTTATGAGATAGAAGAAATATTTAGTAGACAATACAAAATCTAAGTAGAACCTCATGCGTAAGAAATATATATAAAATTTAAACTGTTATTATAATACAGAGCACTGGAGTATATTGTATGTATCATTTCACCATTATTAAGTTCAATGAAATGTCAAATAAACAAAGAAAGCAAAATTTAGCAACAAAAATTAGAGAGGATTTAGTCAAAAATGTTATACAAGAAAAAAAAAAGTTACAAATAATTTGCGGAGATGCAGCAAATTCTCTTACTATCTATCTATCTATATATATATATATATATATATATATATATATATATATATATAACAAAATTTCAACAGATGATGATGATGCTTTTCATGATTGTGCCTCTTCTTCTTCTACTTTTGGTTCCTCGGCAGTAGACGATTCTTGTGGCTGTTCAACAGCTTCAGCAACAACTTGATCAATTGCCTCTTGGTCTACTGCATTTTTTCTCATGGAAGATGTTTTGTTGAGATGATTGTAAGAGCCAGTTTGCTTAAACAGTTGAGAGAAGTGAGCTTTGCAGTATAGGATTCCGTCAAGAGCAGCATATGATGAAGGTGTTAGAAAGCATCCCCCATGAGCACATCTGAAGCATGTTTTGTGGTAAAAATCTCCTTCCACTGTCACCTAGTAGAGTGAATAAAAATAAAATAAATTTTTTCTGTCTCAATATTTGTGTATCGATAAAACAATTATAAATATTTAATACGACTTCGTTTGAATAATGAGATAAAACAATATATCTTGTTAAGAATATTGATACTACTACATTAGTACCTTCTCCAGTGGATAAACGGTTTTCTTACAAGAGGCACATTTCTCTTGGGTACCACAGAACATTGACGACACCTTACTAGGAGTTCTATTCTGTAAAATGAAAATTATATGATATTTGTCAAATTACACTAATTACTCATGTTTGTCCACACCAAAATAATAATAATAATAATAATAATTTAGGGATGAAAAACATACCAGTCCATTTGGCTTCCCAGCTGATGATCGGGCATTGAGTGTAAAACCAATTAGCGGATTTTTCATATATCAAAATAAAACCAGATACAGCAAACAGAAGTTTTAACTTGGGGGATGGATGAAATGTACCCACCTGGAACTCTGTTAACAATGCCCTTCTCTTTGAGCATTTGTTCCATGTGTGGCCTGCAATACAACACCCCCTCTGAGGTTTTAGAGTAGTTGCTCATCTGCAGGGTAAACAGTAGCACATAAATAATTGCTTGCGTATTCAAAATATCATTTAATTCCATTCAGTGACTCTATTCAAAAATATCAGCCCTTCTGGAAATGATTTCGATTTGTAACCAGATGATCCATGGACTCCCTATCTTAATCCTTCATTAATTTAAGCATCCATTAATTTCGAATCAATTACACAAAATTAAAAAAAAAATAAAAATTGACAACATTGTCACCTTTTCTCTTTAATTAATTCTTGAGCAAATTAACAAATGCGCAGCACAATCTCCGCTATTAATTAATCAGAAATGTTGTAACGAACATACCGTGAGTCGTCCATTGCATTGGCTACATCTGAAACAGGTATTATGATAAGGAACGCCATCCGCCGACATCATTTCGGCGAAATGAACGGTTTTCTCACAGGCCTTACATTTCTGCTGCGTGCCGATGAAAGACATTGTTGCTGTACTATATATGATTTGATAATTTATATACAAAATTCAGCACTAAGTTGGGGGGTAAAATGTAAAAAAGGGGGCCTGATCATTTTATTTGAGAGGAAGAAGATTAACTATATGTAACCATGATAAATTGCCATTGGGAAATGCGTGAAGAAACGCTTGAGGGGATGAGTTTTAATTAATTAGTTAAAATGGGCTATAAATAGATTAGTGGTGACAGTTTATGATTAGATGAGTGATCAATTGACACTTGAGAAGCGGTAGGATGCCCAATATTTGATGCCATCTGAACACCTGGAAGAATATGTCTGAGGTAAACATCAAATACTATCAATCATCTTCATGGAAGATTATGATACAATTATGTGTACCAAAAATTGTAAAGTTTTAGAACATGTGAATGGTAAGATATATTGGCAACATGGGAAGATTATTGGAACTGATAGGTACAAAAAAGAAATGAACAATGTATGTTATTCCCATCCGTCTATTTTATAGGAACTGATAGGTACAAAAAAAAAATGAATTACGAGTATATTCTATTCCCATTCATCTATTTTAATTTTCTACTTTATAAAATTAAAATAATATAACAAAGTATATTATTATTAAACAAGAGAGCAGGTGAAAGATAAAAGGATAGAATATTATTAACTAGCTAGGTATGTGCGCACTTTCATATATGTTAGTGCCATCTATGTCAATACATGATTTTATATCCATAATCTCTAATCTCTATCGTTAATTTTTAAATTCAGCATACACTCAATGTGTAATAGATTAATTTTGTGTTGTATTCTTAAAGCTTATAATACATTGCATCGAGCACATTAATAGCATAAGTTGTTGCGCCCACAGATATTATTGGCTTGTGTATACTACTAGCTGGCTGATGATATAAGGTTTTAGAAGTAGTAGTACACATTCTGTTCCAAAATGAATTGATCATCATTTTTCCTCTAAAACTATTAACCTTTCAATTTGATATCATCTGGAAACCTAGAAGATACTCTCAGTTACATAATAGACTAGCCCAAGGTTTTTCATCCTAAACTAGAGGACTTGGGCGGCCAGACATCAAAGTCAAAGCCCAAAAGACGGCCATGATTTTATCTCATTTTCTCACTACACCCGCCCGCAAAAAGATGGGAAAAAAAAAAGAAAAAAAATTTAAAAAAGAGGAAGAAGAGAAAAAAGTTTTTGTTTAGTCTTCCATATCTTTCCATATTACCTATATTTATTTTTAATAATTATTTTTACCCTATTCAACAGGAATATGATTCTTGAATATTACATTTCCATGTATGTTGTGAAAGGAGATTGAAATACCCCTTTATAGTCGACCAGATCACTGCAAGTTTGCAGTATCGAATGTCGTCATATTCATGATATACGCTAGTCAGTGGTGGCTCAAGCTCAACTATAAAGCCACTAAAGCATCCGCTTTAAGCCCCTTAGAGTCTAAGGCCCCAAATTCGTAGTCTTTGTTTTATTATTGATAAATATATCTTTAGACAAAAATCTAAAGGCCACATTTTTTTTTGGAAAGTGTAAAGGCCACATATATGTAAATAAATCAATAACTAGTGATGCTTATTGGTTTTTTTTCAAAGTTCTAAAAGTAATTTTTCATTTTCAAACTAAAGTTACTAATTAAATATTATTTATGTATAAAATGGTAAAGATTTGACTATTTATTAGTTCAAAAAAATACCTCCATCAAAGATTGGGTAAACTTATAAGGATATAGCAACAAAATACTAATCACACTATTACGAAAAAAATTCATCATGACCTCTTTTAAGATTAAGAGTCGTTTATTATCAAAATTCAGTAAAACTAAATTATTACAAATTAATACTTCTGAAAGTTTAATTAAAATTTTATGGTAAGGGAAACTTAGAAAATATTGAGAGGCCCTGATTTGAAAAATGGTTTTAGGCCCCTATATCTTTGAGCCGCCCCTGACGCTAGTTACATTAAATTTTTTGAAGTGTGCAACTAATTATTGCAATATGTAGCTGATCTTATGGTACCGGATTAAAAAAATGTGGACCTAATAGCCAACTCCCAACGTTGGGATCTTCCTTCAATTTCGATTAATTAATATCACATGAATATTTTTACCTTGTATTTTAAAATAATAGAAACCATATATTTGCTTACAAAAATTTGTTTATTATTTTTCTTTTTTTTTTTTTTTTTGTTTCTGAACAATCCTATCTCTATTACAACTTTTTACTCTTCTAATCAAAAGATGGATCACAGCTCAGATGGAGAGGGGAAGATACATTTCGAGGATCAAACAAGCATGCACTGTACATAGAATTTAATATGTACGTGCAATAACGTTCATACATATTCGGGTGAATTAAGCAGAAAGACAGTTGAAAATGAGACTTTGGTTACTAGTACATCCAGACCGGACATTACCGGAAATGGCTATTTTCTGGTCATCCATTACTGATGATCTCTTACTCCGGCCGGCGACTTCGCAATGAGTGGTTCTCCCTCCATTTGAAGCAGAAGAAGTAGCCCTTTTGAATGCTTCTTTCTCCATTCGTCTTTTCATCACGTACTCTTCAGAAATGTACACATCCATTCTTTCTTTTTTTTTCTCTCTTTTTTTTGGCTGCTGAAAAGAGAAAGAATAAAGAGGGAAAAATGACAAGAATATATATACACTGTTCTTTTGGCTGGCTAGTTACACAATAGTAGAAGGCTATAATAAGTATGGAGATATTGCAGCATGGGGCATGAATCTCTCAAGTGTAGTTTGCCATTTATAAGGTTTGTGATTCGAATTAAGGTTCCAAGGGAATCTATGTGCGCCTTAGGAATTAGGACCATGTTTTTGTTTTATTTCTTGGCTTTTTGGTTTACAAACGTTATTTGAATCTGGGGCCAGTTTTTTCATCATTTTGTAGTACGTGGCATGTACTGGTGCATTTGGTTGTCGGAAAAGTATGTTGCGCCTAATTTTAGCGACACTGCTGTAGCCTGAATGCATAAGCTCTCATCTTTTATGAGGCTAAAATGTGATTTTTATTATGGGACAAATCATTTTTTATTTTCTTGTTTTTAACCCAAAAAATAAAAAGCTTTAACGTACTTCCTATGTCCCAAAATTATTGTCCAATTTGGGATTGTACTTTTAGTATAATTTGAACTAGAAATGAAATTCAAACTGGACAATAATTATGGGACGGAGAGAGTATTATGGATGGCGTTTTCTTTAACTAAACAGGACTGGAGAGGGTAAGAAAAGAAATATGTAGAAATTAAAGTAGTCCAAACACATCTACACTGACACCCTGAGAGTTTGTTGGAACCCAAATTAACAACTTATTTTACCACCTGTTGCTTTTAATTTATTTTTTCTGTCACTGCTTTGGCTTTAATCCATTTGTCGGGGAAAAACAAAAAAGAAAAGAAGAACTCGAGACTTCTAATAAATTTACAGAAATAGGCAGTAATATATACGATATGAACGTTATATATTTTGATGTTGATATGTAGTAGTAGTCAGTAGAACTCTGGAAAGTTCAGGCATTTAAACCGTGAGAATTCTATTGAGTTTAGACTCTCTACTCGATTCAGTAACAATGAAGGCAACAGACGTCATATTCCTAGTTCATTGCAATCATGCCTAGTAAATCTACAAAGTTGGATTGAGTTAATATGAGATTGTGTAAACTAAGAATTAGTATACACAGAAATTCATTTAACAAACTATAACAACCCGATCGCTGGATATGGCCTAGCCGAAGATTTCAACAATCGTTACAAGATATTGTGTGGTTCCGATTTTACGTACCTAATATAAACATATGTAAGCTCCATTAAACATCAAAAAACAGTAGAAAGTCATGTATTAGATATACTCATTTCGTCCTAATTAATTAATTCTTCTCATCAAATTATTTTTCTAGTGGCGGACTTCTAAATTAGAAGGGTGGGTGCATTTCTTTTGCCAAGAAAATCTTTGTCGATACCATGCAGTGGTTTTCAGCCTACGATCGATCTTCGCTATAAATAAGCTAATTTATTAGGGCACACTTGAAAAAAAAAAAAAGCATCCCAATTAAATTAGAGATTTCAAAGTGGATTGAGGACGAAAAGTGTGTCATTTCATTTTCTTTTCCGCAACCTTACTCCTTGATGCTGTACTGTTCATATGGTAATTGTTGGTTTATGCCCTGAGCCCAAACAGATTTTATTACTATCAGATTATGAGAATCTATTGGGTCGCACTTAATAGGTCGTTGGTTTGGGTTTTATATTCTGGATTTGATTTAATTACAGTTAAGAGTTAATTCGTAATTAAATGGATCAAAGTTACAATAGTAATTATGGTCATTAGGGTTTCGATACTATTGTATTATAAATAGATAGTATTGGAGAAACCCTAATCACTTTTAGCCGTTGTTGTCCAGAGCCGCATCTACTTCGCCGTCGCTAGCAAGCCGTCGAGTGAGATACCCAAGAGCAGTTCAACGATCGAGTGGATACTGGTAGATGAGAACTATTCTTGCTCTCTCGTGATTCAAGTAGTGTATAAGCAATTTTCGGTGAAAGGTATTCGATACCGTTACTGTGATAATAATTGCATGGATCTAGGGCTAAGGTTCTTGTTTTTATCCGCTGCATATTATGTTTTTATATGCATGGAACCCAACAGTGGTATCAGAGCCACTTGCGGTTATATTACAGTATGGTATATATGCACTTTATAGTTTGGATACATGTGTATGCGACTTATATCATGTAAAACAATCTGCATATATTTCTGATAACAAATCGAATACGTTGCTGGTCATTAGTTTGCAGATCTATGAGATTTATGATAATTTAGTGTATTGTTTTGGATTATGAAGTCGGATTTAAGTAATTGTATGCATGAAACTGCTAGAGCAATTAACGTATATGTGATGTACTGTTGAAAACTTATGAACATGTATGATACGCTTAGAAGTCAGAATGGTTGGAATTATAAGTGTTATGCTGAAATTTTACAATGATTTATAAAACAATTTTGACCTTAGAATGATTCTGAAATTGCATATCTTGCGTATATGATAATATGTTGTTTGTGATTATGATAATCTTCTTTTGCCCACATATATATGATACATAATTTATTTAAAAATCCTATTTTGAAAAACATTATGTCAATTGCCTTCTAATGGTTAGTCCTCGTCAAGATCAGAATTGACAACATGTGGGTTTGCCAAACAAAGCACGTGTCCATTTTGATAAGACACAATGGGGTAAATATGAGTTGGATTGGAGCTTGACTTCATTGGGCTTCATTGGGCTTGACTCAACTAAGTTATTCCA